TTCAGCTGATTTCAGTTTATGAAGAGATTGAATCCATATCAGCCACTACTTCACAACAACTATTCAAATAAGATATATCAGTCAAAGATAGTTTATTTTGAATTAATTTTCAGCAGATTTCATGCTGAGTAATTGCAGATTTTGTTTTAAGTAGTTAGCTCAGCTTAGTCTATTTAAACAGGGTCTTTTTAACCTCTTATGCTCATGCTTTCATTTTTCCTCTCCAATTTATATTCAGAAAATAAGAACTTGTGCAAATAGCAGCCATTTCAGTTAATTTTTGAAAAGAGGTGCTCACCAAAGCATAATTTCACACATCCAAAGTGAAAGTGCAACAATCATATTTACAAGACAAGACACAAATCAAGAGACTCAGAAAAAAAGCAAACCCAGAATGCAGAACATCATTAATGGCATAAACCATCATCCTTAAGATCCATTCACAAAATCCAGCAAACAATTTTGTTTAAAAACAAGTAAAAATTGCTAAACCGATCAGTAATCTGACCTTCAACACAACAAACCCCAATTTATCCAGCAGCATTCAAGACCCTGCCAATCTCAAAAGAAACAAAAGCATCAACACAAGCATACTGCACTTGATCAGGCTTCAACCATCGGTAATCCCACCTACTCATGGTCACTCTGCTCGGCTTGTCCACCTCTTTCCCAAGCACAACTCTCGCCAGATTTTTCAGCCCCGAATTCTTCAATTCCTGCATCCGATAGGTATCCGCCGCGAGCTTTCTTAAATCCACGGCATTCGCATTGAACCCAAATCCATAGTCCTCTTCAAGTTTCTCCAAGTCAGCTTTAATCCCAATGCCCACAAAGGTGTAGTTCTGGTTGGACAGGAAGTCAACAAGGGAGGGCGGGACAGAAGGGGAATGAATGAGTTGGTAGATTAGACAGCGCCGATCGACACAGAGCTGGAGGGTGGCGACTGGATTCTCAATGTTTCGTTGGAAGTTGGGGCGCCACTCGACGTCGAGGCCGATTATCAGACGGCGGTCTTGGGAATGGTTGAGAGACTCGATTTCTGACAGCCATTGGGAGACCATGGTGGGATCGTGAGTTAATAGGGTGTGGATGATGTCTCCGAAGAAGTTGACGTCGTAGAGGTTGTGGGTGTCGTCTGGTAACATGTAGTCATGAATGGTGATCGCCATTGCTGCGCCTCTGTGCCTTGAGACTTGAGAGACACACACAGATTTTATAGAGAGAGAATGAGGAGGATAATTTTTTTTCTTATTATTTTAAAATAAACTAAGGGTATGGTTGTAAAGGTGGAAAATGGGTAGATAGAAAATGTTTTACGGGGAAAAGATTTTTTTAGAAAATGTTTTCCTGAGAATTGTAATTAATTGTGTTTGATTGGTATAATTTTCTACCTGGAAAATGTTGAAAGTTTGGTATCCGTTTGACTTCGTTTTTTATAAAAATTGTCCATTAAAGTGATAATTTTTCTACCAATACGTCTAGAATTTGTTCTAATTACCAAAAAGTAAAAAAAAAAAAATTAAACAATTAGAAAAAATTA